CTAGAGAACCAAGTTTTGACCTGGAACAGGTGTAGAACTCCAAGGAGGAAATCAAATTACATCCTGTTTGAATACATGAATAATAATTGCAGTATGAGACTCTGAGAAGATATGAGGTCGCTCAAATAGAAATCTGATTAGGAACTTACAGTTTCAGCATCTGTCCTGATTCGTGGCTGATAAGCGCACTAGTACTGGAGTCTTGTGATGAACCTATCAGCAGCCAAGAGGAAACTGAAACTTATTTGCTAATTGCAGAGACAGCTAAGTGACAAGCAAGCATATGACACTTGGATGTTCAGGTATGTCACTGATAACTGAGTGGTTACACAACCTTTAATTAATCCACGTATTGTTATTGAAAAGATAATAAAACTTCGATCACGGCAAACTTTTCGAACGTGGAAGTCCTGTTCTGTGGAAGACATGTTGGATTACTTTTTGGGAATATCTAAGTGGACCGAATATTCTGCATAAGACTCAGAATAGCTTCGGGAAGGACTAATCATGTGCATACAACATTTTAGCAAGTTGGGATAAATGGAACTCATGATGGAACTAGGACATCCCACTAAATATTAACCTTTCGTTTCCGTCTAGATCGTTTGTACTACTCAAGTTTCCTTTCTAGAAGGCCCTCCATATAAAGACTGGAATTCAGCTACCATCCTCGATCCTGGCATATCTGACGAATAGGGATTTTTGTGCATACTTAGCTCTGGCATAGATTTCACGAAGAATATCTTCCTCTGGTGTCTCGCAGCGCACTACTGTTGGGCGACTATTATTTCTGATATTTATCTGTGATCGGTCGAATAACTCACCATATCCAGTCACTTTGGAGGACTAGGAGAGGGGGAGGATACTCACCCAGTTTTCAGGAAAACCTCACCATTATAAAGAATAGAGCCGTTACCAGTGAACTGCCATGCTTTTACAGCACGCAGATGACATAGAGTCATCTCCCATATGTTTAGAAACAGTCTACACCACACATTTACACAGAGTGACTTAAGGCTACTTTTGACGAGAATACCAGACGCAAGTAACGACTTTGCGACAGACACGACTAATGCTACTGCAGTCCTCAACTTTGTACACAGGGTTCGGGTGCAACCACATCTGTACAAAACATCTGTGCCTTTACTCTTCAAAGTTCACAATGCTGTCATACCACCACTGCTGAAGACAGATGCCATTCTCCTAGAGGATACCCAGAGGAGAAGGAAATGAAGTCGCTGGGCTAGAACACCCGTTGTATGGCGAAGGGCCGTAGAGACAGGATCGTTATACAATAAGCTGCCACAGAATTGTCGATGACGTCATGAAGACCTTTGGGTGGTGCCTTGTAGGGAAGCGCAAGATGTGTTGCCCGTCGAAAGACAGAAAAATAGGTGCGATCTGAATCCTCTTCTCCTAGGGTTTATTATCCGGAGAATTGTGCTGCGGACGAAGTAAACACCACACTGTCAGTATCTTCAAGAGCTACTCTGATTTTTAGTATATCTCCTGAGTGGGGGGCATTGTAATCATAATTATTTCCTTAACTTTTGTTTTATTTTTTTACTCGTTTCCCTATCACTCCAGCTTCCAAATTTTTCGATTTTTACGTTCTCCCAACTTAAGCATGTCCCTTTTATTCACTTTTGTTTTCTCTACTCATCTTTCTTTTTTTATTCTATTCTTCCAATAAACTTTACCTTTCGAATGTTTCCTGCTAATCCAGTAGAACGGAATCTGCGAATCTAGCTAGTGACTCTTACGTGTAAGAACTCATGAATTGCTCGGAAAACAAAGTGACATCCGTTCATCCGATGCACTTAACCAGACTGATGCAGCACGCTGATACAGTAGTTAATTATAAGAGACAATGCAAAGGCATTTAAATTCGATTAACCATTTAACAAAGACAAACAGTAACCTTCTTGAATTAGACCGGTTTTTTCCAGATAATCTACCTATTGAGGTCTACTGTCTTTAATTTATTAAAATACATATTCTCTGGAAAATTAAATAATCTAAACCGATAGATATGTTTCGAATAATTTAAGTGATAATTTACGAGGATTCGATTGACTTCAGATTAGATTTTGTCACGGACAGACAACTGTTAAAGGAGCCTATCTTGCCATGGCTCATACACCTGCAACATTTGAGGAGTAATTTAATTCTCAATGACGAGTGGTTGCGGAATGAATTTTCTGGAGTTATGGTGAGATACAATGGCCAATTTGATCCAACAATTCCTGTATGAGAACAAACGCTCATCATTGCCATTGGATGAAAATGGCACTTTTGCATGAATTAATAGAAGTTGAAATTTCTTTAGGTTCCAACTCGGGGTCTTCACCTCAATACCTAAAGGTCCTGTGTTCAATTCACGTAGTAGTCATGATTGTTGATTGATGAAGAGTCGAAGAAGCCGTCCAATGTTTTCTGGTTTCCAGTGGCTCTCTAAATGATGTCTGTTCGAGACCAAATCTACCTTGGTAATTAGGATTTATTTATCTCTTCATTACGTTACATATCAGGTAGAAATTATGCGCTACTGATTCCTGCGGTATTAGAAATTCTTTTACTAATGGAATTAGCCTGAGGATAAACAGTTGTGTAACTGTCTTGATTTGATTATGAAGAATTAACTGCATGCGTAAAAATATAGTTAATGCGAAACGACATTCTAATGTATTTCCTGGTATTTTATGAAGTTAATACATTTCGATTTGCTTAATGAATGTTTACTAGTGATCTAGTAATTTTGGAATAAAAATGATTTTTTACTGAGGCACCACTTGAAAACTTAGTAAACTGTCTTTAGGTAAATAAAGTCTCCTCAATAGCTTCGTCATTTGATATGATTATGAACAGTAGTTTATGCTCACAATGTGATCAAATACTGCATCACTGTGTGTTAAATCAATTAAACTTATCTAATATGAAGTTGCATTCTACTACAATGCCTAAGTTCTACAGTAACACTAAAATATGATACTGTTCAATGAATCTTCTGACTGTAAGTTCCGGTAATGTGGGAAGCTGCAAGTTTCCTGCCTAAGATCTTCAGGATCTAAACAACCAATGGTTGAATTCTCTGATTAAGATGAATGAAAGTTTAGAGGCTGAGGGTGTTGACGTTCACGAATGGCACGAAGTATACTAAAGCAAGATCTAATAGCCACAGCTTCTATAGCATTCGTTCCCCGTAGACTGAAAGCAAAGCAAAACACAAGAAATGATCGGCTAAAACTACGAATTATATTTCGGGACCGAATCGGAGTGCGAGATGACTGCTTGACTAGCCAGGGATCGTGCACCAACGAAAGAAGGTAACATGACGGTGTACCAAATGGCATGGATGCTTGACTGAAAGCCTTCAGCTAAACAAATCGACTAAAACAGTGAAGGTCAGCATCCGATGTTCAATGATGAATGCTGTGGCCAATAATTCTAGAGAATTATCTACCGCTACAAAGGTTATTTTAATTTCGATTAGTTTCCCTGAAGAGGTTCGAACCAGTTGGTTGAACGAAAGGTTTGGAGTTACTTATTTCAATTTCACTGAGATTTTACAAATATTTTTTGCATATGAAACAAGGTCTTTTATAATTTACCAGTTATATCTACTCTTTATCACCTTTGAAATTCCGAACACCGCTATACTAATTTTCAATTAATTCTTCACCCTAATATCACTCACGTTCATGTATATTTATTTTAGTACCAATTCAATCTCCTCTATCCTTCTTTTCTATGTGTTATTTATTTTAAAAAAACACATACACTTATGTCTACTGTTTCACACTGATCTGTCAGTCCATCTATCTGTAACGCAACTGTTTATTTGAATCAATTTTATATCCTCTGATCAAGAAATACATATTCCCTGTTAATAATTATGACCTTTTCTTCCCTAATTAATACAGAATAATTTGGCAGTCGACTTGTTTTTAAGGTAAATGACACAGTGAATGACTCATTCACCCATTCACTCATTCACTCACTCACTATTCTCTGTTTATCATTGTAAATGTCACCATGGAAGATTTAATTTAAACACACAAATAAAAGTTAACATAAACTGTTAGGATTATGTTCATTACGAGGTTCAATACGAGCAATAGGCGTTCATTCTGAATCATCCTTTTACTCTGTCCACACACACACACACACACACACACACACATTTGGCATTTGAATGAACATAATAGTGAAGTCGATTTTGTGTGTCTAATTGGGAGGCAGATTTCATCCATTTTACAGGAAAAAAAATCGTATACATGAGGCAAAATTTATTTTTCATTTAAAAAGAAATTGTCTATAATTACTAAATGGCAGTTGGTAGGTGAATTTAGGATGTATCAGTTGGACTAATGTCTATCAAAACAGTTTCTGATAAGCCCATAAAGCAGTTCAGCCAATACTTATTACTTCATAGGCTATACATAACACCAGAAATCCATTCACTTAATTCATTGTTAAATATGTAGGAAATGATAGTCAAATTGAAAGAATGTTCTGTAAACTTTTGAATAATTTAATTTAGATTAACCCATTTGTCTAAAACTTTTGGTAATCTGAAGAGTAGATCGTCTGACAGATGACGAACTAGCATTAATATCTCGTCTAGTTTGAGACTCGTCAGAGATACAAGCGTATGAAGCTGATGAACTTCACCTACGATGACATTGCAGGCCGCCTCCTGCCTGTTATCATTAAACACCAAATAGTATTCAGCCATAGAAAGAATCGTTTGCAAAGCATGTCTACATCTCTGAGTCAAGACTGAAATCAAGACCATCAGATTTCAGTGTTCGGATTCAGACAATGATTACAAATCCACTGGCTTATAACTTTCGAAGATGTTAATCAGTAATAATAAGCTTTACAGTTGTACTTTACTCCATATCTACGATTAGATAATCTTGTTTAATCATAAAGTGGGATGACAAAATAGGTTAGAATACTAACTATGTGTTAAAATCAATACATGCGTGACTTACTTTTTTAACATCAATCCCCGATTCAACCAATAACTCATCCACAGTACGATAACCACGAAAGTTTTTCTCTTCTAAATCTGTAAATTTTCTGTCATGATTTTTATTACGACAAACATTGAGCAACATTGGTATGGTGATTGGTCGTTTATGACTTTTCATTAGTAAATTTTGTATTTCAGTTGGCATCTTCTGGAATGACTCTTTAGCTTTCCATGACTTGTAGACAATCTTACATTGTTCATCGTCTGAATCTCCACTACCATCTGCATAGTAATCTCTGCGTTTTCCGATATCGTTCAGCATCTCTTTGGATGTTTTCTTGTCCTGTTTAGATGAGATACTGTCTTTTAGTATATCATCGATATCTGTGTGTTGTGAAAAATAGGAAGTTGACATGGCAGAACTTCTACGTCTATTCGATACTCCATTCTCTACTATTTGTGCACTGTTAACTGAGGAGGTCAGTGTATCCTGCCGTAAAGTAGCTTCAGAATCACGAGAATATCTTACTGCATCCGATTTTCCACTAGGTCGTCTGCTTTGCGACCTTAACTGGACAACATCAGAGTTGTTAGTTTTAGGTGGCATATCCCATAGCTGAGAGTTTCCCATTTCACCAGCATGTGGTGGGTCGGCTTCTTGTAAAGAATTTTGTTGTCGCCAACTGTTAACCTTTTGTATTGGATCTTGGGAGATGGCTGTTTCAAATTTTTTAGCTAATGGTAATTTCTGTGATGCTTGATAATCTGCTTTATAATTGGCTTCTTTTTCGGCTAAACTTGCCGCTATTTGTTTCCTCCGTTTAATCTCCTCTTCCAACTCACGGTTTTTTATTTCATCTTTCTCCCATTTCGCTTTGCGTTCCAGCTGACGAAGACGACGATTTTCCCGTTCAATTTCTAGTTGGATTTGTTTCTTCCAGTCTTCTTCAAGGATTTTCTCACGTTCCAATCGTTTCTGTTCACTAGGAGTAATGGTACTTGGAGCTGGTGTTGGGCTAACTGGTGGTTGTGTTTGTGCACGTGACCTGCCTAAATAGTCAACACCATATACAGATTCCCTCCAACCGCCACGATTAGGCTTAGGACTTTGTGTATCTTCTTCGTTACCTGAAAGCTGTTTTAGATATCGTCCTCCGATGTTCATACGTCGCGGAATGCTTACTTTATCTGCACTAGGAAGGGGTGAATTGACTTTAGTGGGTGGGAGAATAATATCATCACCAGTTTGTGTATAATTGTGTATATTAACAGGACGTGGCATTTTTACTTCTGCTTTCTCTGTTTTTGTTGTAGATATACCTGTTAATTTATTTCTAAAATTAGAATCTTCTTCAGTCGATGTTGCTCTACTTGTAACAACAATATACTTTGTTAAATTGGCATTATTAACTGACTCGTCTAATTCATCCTCCTCTTTTACAACTGATGAAGATAAACTGCTTACTGAAGGTCGATGATAATTACCAGTAGATTTTGATAGATTATTATAGTCTTTTACAGATCCAGAGTCTCTTGAAGATATAGATCCACTTGGGTAACGACTACTAGAGAAACTTGAAAAATTTGATGAATAATCTGTTCCACTATTTGAATGACGTCCTGAACCATAGGTGTAATCGTTATTTTCATTTCTGCCAGTTAGTACAGAGTTGGCACGAGTTTTCCTAGGATTGTATATATCTGAAGCATAACTGGTCCCGAAATTAGGATAGGCTGTTGTTCCAAGCGGTTTTGATGTAGACGTGTAGGGTGTTGCTGGAACTGAAGCAGTACTTCCAAAATTTTTATTTGATGAATATCCATTTGAATAATTCGATGTTAGCTGTTAACAAAAAGAAACAATAATGAAAAAGTGAAGAAAAATCTTTCATCAACAATTAAAGTAAACTGAATATATGACCAAACAGATTATATTGAATTGTGAAGTAGTATTTTTAGGGATTTGATTGGTTACATGTTTGATTCAGAGCTGATATCGGTTAGAGAACGGCTGGAAAACCAGGGAGTATTATATATCTGTCTTGTCTTTAGAAGTACTCACTGATGGCTCCGCAAAAGATTTAACCCAAGGCCTTCAGTTTATGAGTCGAGCCCACTGGCTACTCACTCAGTGGGATAGAATTTGATGGCCAATGAATTCTAACTTCTGTCAATTCACGATTTGAAATCAAGGTCACCGAAAGATTACGAGCCGACAGTTGATGTTTCACCACGTAACCACTTCTGAAATTCTTTTCAATGACAGGTAGTTTTGACCAACTGGCACGTACTGTATAATAATGCTAACGTGACCAGCATATGAAAATATTAGTTCACAATTGATAACACGGGTACCGTTGATAAGAACTTTAATCATTAATTTATAGCATGTATATCAGTTTGTTAATGTGAAACTAAATAAGACTATCTCACGGGTAACCGTATTTTACTTGTACTCAGGATGTTAAATGTAGCTGACATGTCTTTCGGCTAACTGTTCTGCATAATATAAATGAACAACTAAGTTGATTAGTGGATGGTGATTAGCAGTGGAATCCAGGGTGCTCATTTCGTCCTATTTGGGACTCGTCATCTGAATTTACCTGTATTCCGCAGTGACTGATGGAAAACTCTTTGGCGTTTGAAACTAAGGGCATTGGGTTCCAGCTCTGGTGTGAATACCATCACTCACTGCGGAATGCACGTACATCCAGACGACGATTCCTAAATGAGACGAAATGCACATCCGGGATTCCACCGATCCACCGATTAACTTCTAGTTGCATGCTCAGACATCGTCGAAGCATCTGCACGAAAAGCAGACATGTCAACCTGAGGCCGAACGCTTCGGTGTAGTTAATCGACGGGAAAATCTCAAATTGAATTAAATGAAAAACTAAATTCTATAGAAAGTAAGACAATGTTTAATTGCTAGTTAGCATAATCAACGTATGAAAGGTTTAGTCATATCCTCTAAAACATAAAACATACATATAAATGTATCCTATTATTATTAATTCCATTCCTCTTCGTTCCACGTGGGAAACAGGACTTCGAGCCAGAGCTATGAAGTTTCGGTAGCAGTTGTATTAACTGGCTTAGCGAGATAAAGGAGTGCGTCAGCCGAAGGTCAAACCCCAAACCGCCTACGTGGTGGGCGAGCATTCTACCGGTAGGCCACCGACTCACTCAACTGTCCTCTTTGTTTAACTTTCTTATCAGCGTGCTCCATCCGCATGTGACACGCAATGTTTTCCCATTGTAACTCATCAGATAAAGAAAATGTCACTATGAAGACCCCACCGTAGGACAGATATCTTTAAATGCCAAGGCCTCACATATTATTTCATCAAGTCACCAGAGACACATAACAGTTGTTTGTCTATCCACATCGTTCGGTTTTTTGTTTTTATTATCATTATTACAGAGCATTGAGTTCCTAGAAGAACATGAGGCTTGAGCAACATACCTCAAATGGACTCAGTTCTCTACTATCACTTTCAGATGATTGCACAACTGCCAAGGGGTTTTTCTAAAAATTATTTTTCGTATTTTCTTGTTTGGAATGGTAACCTATAATATTATGTTCCATGTTAGATAAGTTTATTTCAAATATCACACACAGTGATGCAGTTTTAACAATATTATGACAGATCTATCGCTTTCTAGCTGTTTGTAGTTTTATTCACAAATGTTTTGCTCAGTGCTGTTTCGTGAAGTCAGTGATTATTTCCCCTTCTTCTCACTCCTACTCTCCTCTGTCTAACTTCGCATCACGTCGTCTACAAATAAGCTCTGTTTATTAAATTTTTAACTATTTTGTATTCATGTCTGTTGTCCCCTTTGAGGTGAAATAATCTTTGTAGTATGTTTTATGCGTTCGCATGTATAATAAGTCTTATTTTGAGTTGTTAGCAGCTGAAGATGGGCTGTGAAATGAAAAACGGAGGTCTTTTTATCCTACAAATATGTACATTCTTACTTTATTCAAATTTATTCTTGCCTAATAAGTGATACACTGTTGTATGAAATGGATAATTTCTATTTCCCACCTATTTATAACTCGTTGCGAATTGTAGTCAGTTAAACAATCACTGAAAGTCAAGAATCAGTTAACCGCCTTAGGTATTTCATTTTCCGACTCGTCAACACCATCTAAGCTTGAATATGTCTGAAGTTTCAAAAGTCGATAAAATAAATATCCAACACTCCATTGCCTAACAATGTTTTCTAGTTAATATTCATTTGTGACATGATCCATCGTGAAAAACAGATAAATCACTGCATAACATGATAATCACAAACATTGTTTATTTCACTTTTGGCGGCCTGCTTAAAACATTGACCTGCGTAGTTTTCAACAGGGCATAATCCATAATCTATACTGAATCGCATTTACTTTTAACCATCTAATTGCGTCCTTCAAGAACAGTTGACACTCAAGTGAATCTTTAAGCGGTTTTCAGTATAAAGCTAGGTATGCTTTGAAAGGACAAAACAGTCAGGGTATAGAACATGTATCTGAGCGAATACTGTTCAGCAGAACTATATACCGTAGACTACTATATAACTCGAAGATTTTGAATAAGGAGTAGATGAAATGCGTTGGAAAGTCTGTCCTGTATACGAACGTATTGTTCAGAATAAAGCTAGTATTTGATTAAAGATGCTTTCAAAAGAATGACCAGTGAAAAAAGTATATTCCTTACGTTAACTTCATCAAGGTTCTACAGTCATATAGTGGTGAGACCTGGCTGCTAGCCAAATTAGTAGACAGTGATTTACATCAATGTTTAGGTCTCCAATATTGGTCGTGAGAAAAATAAGAACAAAGACTGACTCAACAACCAACCACAGCAGACTTTGCGTAAGTGGATACAGTTAGCATATCGATGATTTGACATTCAAGAAACAGCCACAAAGAGATGAAAGGTTAACTTTCTGTGAGAAACAACCAATCAAAAGACTGTGTTTTTCTGCTAACAATAATCTATAATAATGTGCATGAAAATGTATAAATATGTGTTGATTTCTTTAATAAATGATCTGTTTCTTGGACCTTGTCATCTGTTGTTACAATGTAACCGTGATAATTAGAGAATTATTGTTGTTAACAGCATTACTACTTCTTAAATAATATCGAATCAATCAGAACAGAAGATTACATTTTAGAAGCATCTGTAAGTAATGAAGCGCATCAGTATAACGCCAAAATGAATACCAGATAAATTAGAAAAAATAATACGGAATTTATTAGTTTATAGGTTTCACAGTGGGCTATGGAAGAATAGTGGATGGACCGGTTGTTTTGAAAGAACTGTAACTGTAACAATCTCTGCTGTCTAGAGCATTTGGTACCTAGAAACCTTTGGCAATTTATTTGATACCCGATAGATGATAGAAAAAATCTCTCATGTACAGTAGAAACTCTGTGCATAAAAGTGATTGAACAGTAATCTATTGATTTGATTGATTCGATTTTATTTAAAAATAGTAGTCTTGACCGTCTTCAACTATAATGGATATATACCTGCAGAACTTAACGAAGAAGTTATCAAAAGGAATAGTCTTTGTTCATTAGTCAGTCTTTTGACAGGAATTAAACTTATTCAAATTGAACATTTAACGCAGAACAGGAGTTCTGTTCATTCTGGCTAACTCTGAAAAAAAAATATGTGCGTTGAACATTCATGACTGAGGATAAAAGCAATGGCAAGGTGTTTCCTAGCATAGTATAGCAAACGTCACAGCAGACACTCGAACCACCTGAAAGGTTAATAAAACACCTTCGAAAACAGTCTAACGTAACATCTGATATGACTACAGCATTCCTGTAGGCCCGTAATATAAAATTAACTAAGTGAGGAAATTTAAGTCATGACTGGCCGCCTCCGTTCTGCATATACAAGCATATATATATATATATATATAGTGGCAAGTTCCATTATGAGATAGGTTATTATCCTCGCCCACATCACTTACATGTTGTTCACACCGAAAATGGTGGCATCATGTTCCAGAATTTGTTTTTTCCATGAGTTACACTAATTACTACAAAATAACTAAGTTGAATAAAGAAAGAACAAATATATTTGCAGGACAGTACGAGCTCGTTTCATTTCGTGGATTCTCTTCAACTGTCCACATCCTAAATAAATCAATTATAATATATTACAAAGTTTCTGAACATACTCTTTACAATGACATCGAATTGTAGATAGAAGGTATAGGCAACATGATTCCAAAACTGATGTAAGTAGATGAACCATTCGGTATTAAAAGAGTAACTAATGATATACTAATTAGACAAGGCGGGTAGAGTTCAGATTCAGCTTGGAAACAAGGATTGACTAAAGACAAAATACCAGATCGAATAATAGAGTGAATTTTGTGCGTATTATGATGGAATGTTCAGGAGGGTGGGGGTAAATAATGAAGCAAAATGATAAAATAGATAAAATGATTTAATTCAGTAGATTTGGAAACTTAATAGTGAGCTCAACTCAATGAGTGAAAATCAAAATCACGATTGAGCGGAATCTTATACAGCAGAACAAAACACAAAAGCACACAAACAAAACAATTATGGTTACCAAGGTAGTTAGAGATTAGTCACACTCTCTCTAATTCTGTATGCTTAGGTTGGGCCGAAGTCTTTCGATGCCATTGACTTCTGAGAACCGAAGTAACCATGCTTTGTTTATTGATTATTTTGAAAGCCTGACTAATTTCCACTGTGTGTCCCATGTCAACTAGGTGTCTGGCCATTGAGCTTGAGAACACTTCGCTGCCTTTCAAATAGAGACTTTTAGGGATATGCTCGGAGAATCTAGCATATGCTTT